ACTGCACCCCATAAACACAATCAAGCCTATAAAAAAACCAGTCAACCACCCCTTTAAGGGATCAAATATTTGACTACAGGGGGACTTAGAAGTGTACTGGAGTTTTTTTTTTTTTTTTTTTTTCCAAAATAGCATTTTAAATAGCAAATCGCAAAAAAAAAAACTCTGTGCCAAGCCATCAGAACTGAACTGAAGTGAAGCCCATGGTTAAAAACCGAGGTATGTATTGATCCGCGGGCTAAGTGTATTGTTGCATACTGTGCAGACCTGCTAACCTTTTGGAAAATATTTGGCATTAAATCTTGTGTTTTGCAGGTCTTGCATTTTGCATGATTTTGACATTAGCTATCAAGGAGCTTCAGGTAGTCTCGTCCCGTCACACTGATGTGAATTGTTCCAAGGTTGGCAGGTCTGCTGATATGAATCGGATGCGTGCATTATTTGCTTCTGTCACCGCAGACAGATCGGATATTCCCCTGTTAATGTGAGTTGGATGCCAAATGTTTTTGAAACATCTCGCGGTACAGATATATCTACTACAAATGAAACTTCTCTAGTTGACTAGCAGAGTACGGATGTAAACCATCACATTAAAGGTTTTTGAATTCTTTCAAGAAGTTAAATTCATTTCTTCAAACTCATTACGTTTTTCTGAACATGGTGTTAATGAAGTGTGTGCACAGTTTGGTCTTTTAATATCACTGTGTAATGCGTTGAGCCACGATAAGCATTTTCCAAGCTAAGTCAGTGTAGTGTAAATGCAGATATCGGATACGGGTCACTTTTAAAACAAAGTGTCGTCATAACCAGATATAGTAAAAAAACAATCAGATTTGGGCGTCTGGACTGCAGTGTAAATGCAGCCTATTAGAGCTTCATTCAGTTCTGTGTGACTGAAGACTTGAAATCAGCACACTCACAAACCCACGACTGCACACTTGTTTATTAATGAAGAGAAGAGAGGTCGGGACGCCTCGGCTGCTTACCTTCATTTGTAGGCCTGTTACACATTGATGAAGAATGATCTGTAATGAACCGGGTTGCTCCTGAAGGCATAACGGGGCGGTACTGTCCCCCATTCAGAGAGCATCAGGGGCGCTGGAAACCATTTGAGTTTACACCAAAGATTCATGATGAGATGAGCTGAAACGTGTAATTACTTGTAAAAGATTATGATTTGAACTAGGGCTGCATAATCAAATCTCTAATCGTGATTACGGATACCACGATTACGTAATCGTTCAAAGTCCACTTATGTTATTCTGAGTGCTTGTTTGTGTTTTTTTTCTACAGGTTATTAAGGGTTTTTCCATTGTTTTTGTTTTAGTATAACATTATGCATATTTTTATTTAAAGAAGAAAGCAATCCAATGAATAGTTGACATTTGAGGCTTAATATTATAGAAAAGCAATACGTTTTTCAGTTTGAGTGTTTTCAGCTTGTTTATTTTCATATAAAAATATGGAATGCAGTTGCTTCAGACAATGGTATAAACATCAATGTAAATTGTGTTAATCATAATTAATTGCAATTACAGTTTCATGGGAATAATCGGCAACTATGATTTTTGTCATAATCGTGCAGCCCTAGTTTGAATACTCTAGCACCGCGTTACACTGGACTCAAAGCGAACTTTCCAAATCCACTTGTCCTGTTGCTGGTCTTGGAAGTCTTCAGCGGCTCTGGTGGGAAGTCGCACAAACATGTGGAGTACGTCAGAAACGGGGAATCTGTTTACTGTATGCTACTCACCGCGTGTGTCCAGTGTAGACGATCACTGCAGATAATGGGTTGATCATTAATAATAATCATAATAAAATTATCAAAACAGAATGGCAATCAACATTAATATTCGGGAAGACATTTAGCCCCGTTATTTTGGGTGGGGTCAGTAAGGGACCTGGGTAATAGATTATAGACCGCTGTCATGAATCCACTGCACCACCAGATTAGGATTCCCACACATTCTCGTGGATTAGTAGGAAATCTGTTTCACGGAGTAAACATGAACAAGTCGGGATTTAATATCGGAAGTCTCCCTGTACGTTCTTGCAATTTACAAACATTTCAAAGTTTTTTTTTTTTTTTGGGGGGGGGTCATGCTCACTACGGCTGCATTTATTTGATCAGTTCAACAATTAGAATGCAACAATACAACAACAACAATGTAACAATAATTGTATTGATCTAAATGGTTAAGTAAAATGAAAACAGTAGTGTATTTGCACAAGAGTATGTGATCGAAGTGACGGCACTTTCTCTTCCTCATTTACAGTGCTCTGAGCAGTTCACTCCGCTCAATAGAGAGCAAAACAATTCAAAAGAACTCGACCGGTTAGTATGACGAATGCCTAGGCATGTCGTTGTGTACATATAAAATAGATTGAGAGGGAGCCTTATTTATTTTTATTTTTTTTTTAAATCCGCCATGAATCTTCATAGTCATACTTAGTCATGTTCACCTTCTCTGTATTTTGAGTAAACATCCCTTAATCACTTTATTTCTGATAATACTAAATTCCATCTCTTTAATTTTGGCTGCTAATCGTCTATTGATGACGTTTAATAGATGAGAAATTCTTAGACGTGTAATTGCATTAAGTCCTCCGCACAATCTGACCTGTGCTGCAGCCTGGAATTAAACCACTCCATGCTGGTTTGGTCTGGCCAGAGGAGAACTGGACCCCGACTGAGCCTGGTTTCTCCCAAGGTTTTTTCTCCATTTCTGTCACCGATGGAGTTTTGGTTTCTTTGGCTTGCTTAGTTGGGAACAATTGACTGATTGCACAGACGCTATTGAAGAGAGCTGAACTGGAAGATGACATCACTGAATCATCAATGAACTGACTTTAGCTGAAAAATGACTTATTGTCTTACATTATTGGCAAACTATTTTTCTGTTTGACACCGTAAAGCTGATTTGACACAACCAGTATTGTATAAAGCGCTGTAGAAATACAGGTGACTGAGCGAGTAATGAGTTGTTGTAATGTATGAACACAGTGCAGTGCTCTGAGCTGATGTCTGCATGTGATTTGTTGACAGGAGATCAAGGACACACGGCACAGACACGAGACGCGTCTGGTGGAGGTGGACTCGGGCCGTCAGATGGACTACGAGTTCAAACTGGCTGCGGCGCTGGCTGACATGAGACAGCAGCACGATGAGCAGGTCCAGCTCTACAAGGACGAGATGGAGCAGACCTACATGGCCAAAGTGAGCACACACATTCACTGCAGCGTTGTGACGCATTCACACGTCTCGGAGTTTCCTCCAGTGTTTGACTTCCTCTGAGAGTTGCTTCAGTTCCTCTTTGCATTTCTCTGAGACATCTGTGTGTGTTTCAGCTGGAGAACGTGCGTCTGTCGTCGGAGATGAACAGCTCTTCAGCGAGTATGGCCCGCGAGGAGCTGCACGAGTCCACGCTGAGAGTGGAGAGTCTGTCTGCTCAGCTCACTAACCTGCAGAAAGAGGTGCGTTACTGTCCTTCAGCAGAGTACACCACTGACTGGCTTCCTGCTTGACATCGAGGCTCATTCCTCACACTATCTAGTTCCTCCTCAGTGTTGCTGCGACGCTTTGTTCGCTCCTTTATAGAGTGTTCATTCTTGAGCTGCTCTAAACCGTTTCATTTAATCCTGACGGTCTTCAGGAAGTGTAATATCCTGTTAGTGTATGATTTCGCATGTATGCTGTAAAACTGAACATGATTTTATTGATAATTCACTTCCTCTAGACTCTAGGTTTGAATAAAATGGCAGATGTGTCGATGAAAGCAGCATCTTTATCGCACACTGTCGTCACTCTGCAGCGATCTGACCATCACTGTCAGACTAATAGATGTTCATCCGCTCTGCTTATGAATATTTTGTATTTGTTTTTTATTTTACATTTTTATTTGAATACGCCCATATGGATTTCACCTAGGGTGTCAAAATGGCTAGAAACGGCCCTGAATGAAGTTATTAGTGTCAGAAAACTTATACTTTCCCTGTGTCTCTGGGACTGAATTTTGTTGACGAACATGAATATGTACGGTCATTGACAAACCATTGCAGCATAGAAAAAAAAAATCTTTTAACAAGGGAAGTCCCTTGGCCACACAGAGTTATTATCCACTTATTTGGGCTGGAATTGTGTGGAATGTTTTGTGATCCGGTGAGTCTTAATAGCTGCGAACAAACAAAGCAGCTCTGTTGTAGTCATCAGCGCTGCATCTTCAAAACACTCCACTCCATCTGTTGTCAACAAGTTGATTAATTAAAAGGAAAACATTCTGTTTTATGCAAATCAGTCAACAAATCAGTCACATGTCATCCATATGCATTTTAGCTTCCAAGTCTGTGCGCCCCTCCCGCCCCTGCTGGAGGACTTATTGACACTAACCCTTCGGGCACACAATACTCGAGCTCTCTTCTAACCACGTGCTTGATTCCAACATTGGAATTGTGGGCATGGAGAGCATCAAAGTTGCCCTCTCCTGTATTTGCATAGTGTTTAAGCTGATGCGAATTGCAAGGACAGAGCGGTAAAATGCAGTGAAATTACTGCTTGCTGACTTGAAGTGGAAAGCATGTCAGGATGTTAATGGCGTGGTGTGTAATGCTGCGGCAATTGATATTCCAGCACGCTCAGGCAGGTTAAACGTGTTAACAGCCGAGCTCCTGCTGCCTGAGCTGTCTGCAATAACATAGCTTACAAACATGTGTTCATTAGTAACACCTGGGTCAGAAAGGTCCTCGTTGGATTTCAGCAGTGGAATGAAAGTTGCAGGAATGCAGCTATGCTATTATAAATCGCTCCTGTGTTGTCTTAATTTATCTATTTATTCGTTTGCTTAGAAATGCCACCAGAAACTCATTTAAAACACACACACACACAGCAGCCTTTTGCCAGCATGAGGAAGATATTCCGGTTGACTAATGCCCACCTGCCTCTTT